TTTTTTTTTTTTATTATTACAATTGTTGTTATTGTCGTTGTTGCTGGCAGTGGATGTTTGCATCGGTATTAGTCTTGTGTGTGTGTGTGTATGTGTGTATGTGCGTATGTGTATGTATGTGTGTGTATGTGTGGGTGTGAGTGTGAATGTAAGTGAGTGGGTTAGTTAGGTATGTATGATGCGATACAAAGTAGTAAATGCATATATAAAAGGACACGAACACATTAGTGTGTCAGCAAATACATTAAAAAAAAGAGGGTGGATGACATGATTTCACTAACTTACTTAAAAAAAAAGGAAAAAAAACAAACAACAACAACAATAACAATGCGACAAATTTATAAAAAAAAAAACAGAACAAAAAACGAACTACAAAATTAAACAACATTCCTTGGACGTTCAAAGATTAGTCTAAGGTTGAATTTTTAGGTTTTGCAAAAAAAAAAAAACAAAAAAATAAGAAAAGGACTCTAACACAATATGAAATGTTTTGAAAATGTATTGAGTGAAAGCCATGTAGAAAAAAAAAAAAAAGAAGGATAATGCAAGAGTGTTTAGATGAAAAACAAAGATTTTATAAGGCGAAGGTTGTAACGGTAAGCTTACATGAAGGATTCAGGTAAAGGCCTTTACTTTATCAGTTATTGTTGTTGTTCTTTTTTTTTTTTGTTTTTTTTTTTTTTTTCATTTAGTGTTTCTAGTCATTAGAGACATTTAATGTTAGGTAAGTAAATAAGTAAGCGAATCGTTAACTAAGACCATAAATATGATATGATGATACGTAAGTAGGTAAATAGGTGGATGGATAGGTGGTGGATAAGGTAAACTAGTTATAAGAAAATGAGTTTCCTCTCCTAACGACCAAAACAACACCAGTTTCAAGACGGTATAATAAATTGGTATAAGGTGAAGTCATAAATAATTGAATTAGAGAATTTTTTTTTGATATTGTAATTACTAAAGTTGTTTACATTTCTTTCGGTAATAGCCTGGCCGCACTGTTACACACTCAACACTCGCAATAAACGCACCGTTGAGATTTGCTCGTTGTTATCCGGAGTTTTTCAAGCAAGCAAATATGACTTAAATCAAATCGATGATGATACGGTTTTTATTGAAGCTTTTTTTTTATCTTTTTTGTTAGTTTTTTTCTATTTAATTATAGATAACAGGTACTGTTTGTGTTTTTGTTGTTGTTGTTGTTATTATTATTATTATTATTGTTTGTTTTTGTTTTCAATTCAATTATTTTTAATTATTCCATGCGAAAAGCAGATACATACGCGACAGTTTTTATTTTAGCTTTTATTTATTTTATTTTTATTTTTTTTTTTTTAATTTATTCTCTTATAATAAAAGAAAGAAAATGTAAAGGACGATAAAAACGAGCAAAAGATTTATTTGATTATATAATTATTCAGTTTTCCTATTGAATATGACCGATACAATAACCAATGTTCGTCATCGTTTTAACAAACACATACTTACACACTCATACAAATACAGACACACTAACACGGTCATACTTTCACTTGTAACGCACACACTGGCCCAAGTGCATGCTTGAACACACATGCACACACACACACACACACACACGCACACAAAAACACATACTAACTAACTAACAAATCATTCCCTTATATACCAGACACCCAATGCTGAAGTAAGTGAAAAACGGAAACAGAAATTTCGCAAAATATATATATATAAATATATATAAGCCCACACTTAATAAGAGGTGGCACTAAAAGAAAAATTTCATATTTTCATATTTTCCCTTTAATACCTAAAAAAGAAAAAGCATAAATCTTTTGTCACTTTCTCTTTAATTGTAATGATTTTCGATTTGAATTTCGTTGGCAAGAACAACTTTTCATTTCAGTCGAGTCTGGACCGTTTTTATTTGTTTCTGATTTTCTTTTTCCTTTTTTTTTTGTTGTCTTTAGGTTTAGCTTCTCATAGATTTCACTCTCATTTATTTAATCGATTCATTCAGCCTTCATTCAATATTTTCATCAAAAAAAAAGAAACATATATATATATTTTTTTTTTCTTCCTTCTATTGCTTTACTTGCTTTTCTTCAACTTGTATGTGAGAAAAACTTATTCAAAAACTATTTGAAAAAAAGGAAAAAAACGAAAACTTGTTCTTGGCTTTTATAAAATATTTTTACATAACATTCTTTTTTTTTCTTTCTTTTTCGCTTTATATCTACGTAAGAGTATAACTGAAAAGTTTTGATTTGGCGTGTTTTTGGGGCTATATTTTGTTTTTTCGATAATTTCGTATCATTTAATCAAAAGTTTAATTATTTCCCTTTTATTTTATTTTTTTTTCTTTGTTTCCTAATCACTGTTAATATACGTAGGTATATACATATACATATATATATATATATATATATATATATATATATATATATATTTGTATATATATGTATATTTCTTTTTATTTTTTTATATTTTTTTTGTTAAATTTCTTTATTAAACTAAACGTTTCGAATGGCCCACGAGTAATAAAGCTGACGCGTTCTTTATTCGCCTATTTTGTGACGACGACTGTTATTCAACTTGTTTTGTTGAAAATCAATAAAACAAAGAGCATATCCTGTAAGTCCTTAAAAGCTTTCTTTACATTCTCTCTCAATCCGACATCTTACTCTGTTTTTAAACGCTTTCTCTCCCTCTCTCTCTCTCTCTGTTTCTCTCTCTCCCACTCTTTCGCCCGATAACGAATGTATGGCAAAATACGAAAAAAATAAAAGCAAATCAGCTTTTTTCACATAGTTTCTAATAAAATCGGTTACTTTTTTATTAAAAAAAAAAAAGTAACACAAAATTTCTTTGCAACAATAACAAAATTTCCATTAAAATAAAATACATCATAAAAAATAACAAAAACATTAAAATAAGCCTTAAAATAATATAAACTAAAAAGGGAAGACAAAAATGTACAAAAAATATTTACTAATATTTACTATATTTAAAAAACATGTTTTTTTTACAAACTATTTTTTTTTTTTAACTTAAAAACTAATTTGAAAATTTTGTTCCTTCTGTATATAAATCTAAGATAAACTACGACCCGAAAGCCCAAAAGGCAGTTTTTTTTTTTGCGTGAGTATACGTTACGTTACCCCTTACAGCCTAACTTTTTTTTTATAATTTTGAATTTAAATACATTTTTTAAAAAACCAAAGTAAACGCTAGAATCCCGATGTGTAGATAATGGAAATGTTTTACCGTATTCTTCGCTTGATGTGTATAATTCGACTATCATCAAGCCTAAAGGAATTGAGATGATAAAATATGGAAACGTGCTTTTCCCATAAACCATTTCTCTAAGACTTTTTTGGCTTTTTAAATAAACCAATTTCGAAGGACAACAATTCTTCTTCTTCTAAAAGCGCATGTTTGAAAGACGAACAAACTCAATAGCGGATATAGCGAACGAAATAAAGTTAGCTTACTGCATTTTCTTCTTCTTCTTCTTAATAAAATTCATCCGGTTAGAAACGTTTCAATACAGATCAAAAAATAATCTAACACATCAGTTATTGTTAGGCACTACACAAAAGGGTATGCAAAATCCTTTCGGATGTATGCAACACCCAGAAGAACTTCAGACGGGCTTACTTTTTATTATATATTATATTAATCCGGAATCATTTTGTGACACGGTCTAAGCTTGTCCTTCCGTCTTTCTGTCTTGGTTTCTTGTGTTCAACTTACAAGTCGCAATTATTGAGATATTTTGATAAAACTGGGTACACGGAAATGCTTTGGCACAAGAATGAAAGCTATTGAAAGTGGTTCGGATTGAGCCACTTCGTAGACCACTGCCCATATAACGACTTACTTTGAATAGTCGTTTGCTATATTAATAAATGTAGGGTGGCGTAGGGTATGTAATAGTGCGCCGCACCAACCAATTTATTTGCGCCTTAAAAACGCTCACAACAGGTGCTGACGTAAAGAATTCTAAGAACCTGTAGAGAAAGATACATAAGTATATTAACAGACATTCAGGCATTTTCACAATTTCCGGGAGTAGGCGCTAGGAGGTAGGACGATATTCATTTTGAACACTATCCGCGGTTTATAGGGATTTATACAGATTTAACATTATATGGAGGAAACGCATTTTTAGAGTAATTGTACCCTACAGCGAACAATGGTCAGCGATAAAAGGACCATTTGTATCTAAGTGTAATTCTTTATCTCATTTTCACCGTCAAGAGAACGACACTCACAAAGGATGTGATTTAATTAACTTAAAATCTCATTAAAACATATACACTCAGTGAAGTCACAAAAGGGGAATTTTAAAGAAAAGATCTCTTCCTCTCTAACAATGAATATATGCAATGATCTAACTCTTCATATTCAATCATCTCAGCTAATTAATATTTTTTTCTTAACATAAAATTATTTTTTGTACCACAAACCACATAACAAACACAATAACAAAACTCTTATCCATATCTAATGGTAGTTTAGATAATGCTCCGGAGTTACTTGGAGAGAAAATGAAAAATTTACGTTTCTCTTTAATGCGTGGCAGTGCTGCACATTGTCCTTGATACCAAAGACCACTTAACCCATTACTATTCTTCGCTACTATGCACATTTCATGTGCTTCGTTTGATTTACTCCTAAACATAGAGACAGGTATCTCCGCTTTTCTCAAGTAATATGGAAAATCCTGTTGATATAAAATATTGTTAACCATATCACGTACATATACTGTAAATTCAGCCACATCGCGTGAATTGTGAGCCAACCAACGAATGGTAATTTTACCATTCTTGCTAGAATTATATACATATATATAAATATATACAAATGCATTTTGCCGTAAATTCTCGTAAAGTTTTCAATTCGACTTACTTGGTTATATCTCGAAATTTGACATCTGTCAATTTTTCATAGGTTGTACCATTAAATCTTTCTTTCTCTTCCTGAGAGCATTGCAAATTTTCATCTTCCGTTTGTAATAGTAAACGATCTTTATTAAATATCGGGCTTTCGCATTTAATTTCACTTAAGTCCTCGGTCAGTGCCGTTAGCTCGGTCATATAATGTTTTAAAGGTCGTACAGCGCAATTGCAATGCAAAGGGTTCCCTTGAAAGCGTACAACAGTGTAATTTCTCATATTCCACACCAAACTTAGAGGACATTCGTTGAAACTGTTTTTACTTAAATCAATTAATTCAAATCTTGGTTCCTTTAAAAATTTCTCAAAAGGCAGACGATAGATTTGATTGTTTTGCAAATAGATTTGTGTTAAATTTTTAGGTAAATCAAATAAATGCTCTTCGGAAGATAAATTACTCAATTCATTGTCGGATAGATCCAAATATTGTAAACTCGTAAAATTTCCTAAAACTCCTACAATTAAAAACAAAATAATTAATAACATATTTTTACAAATTTGTTATCTAAAATTTGTTCTCACCTCTTCTTAGGTCATTGATATGATTATGCGACAAATTTAATTTATACAATTTCTTTGTACCAAATGTTATATCATACGTTACTACAGGCATTTGATTGTAACTTAAATCCAAATACCGTAAATTATATGGGATGTATTGGTTCTCCGGAAAAGTTTTCTTTGTTACAAAACTTATTTTATTATGACTTAGATTCAAATCCTCTAAACTTAAGAGATCATCAAGTACGCCATGAGTTTTATTATCTAATTTTGTTAGAAAATTATATGACAAATCTAATTTACGCAGTGATGGCAATCCTATGAAGGCATCATTCGGTATAGTTTCGATTGCATTTGCTGATAAATTCAAATTCAAAAGTTGCAATAAACCCTCAAAGGCACGCTTGCTAAAAAAACAAAAAAAAATATTTATGAAAATGAATAAAATAGATTTGAAACGATAAAGTGAGGTTATGATGTGTAACGTACTAAAACGTTCTGTAATGTGTACATTAAACATTTTTTAGATCAGGGAAAATGGAATGCGGACGTATAGAGATGTGCGCATAAGAAAAGAGAGAGAGAGGGAGAGAGAGAGGGATAACAAGATGTGAAAAGCTATGGATAGGGAGGGGAAGAATACGTAGTGACCAAATTATAAAACTAGCAATAGTTATAGAAGTATACCTTATTTCTTTTACTCCATTGTTGTGTAAATTCAGTTCAAAAAGAACCGGTAGCTTGCCGAAAGCATTTTTCTCCAAAACCGTAATATTATTGTGCTAGAAGATCAATGATAAGAAAAGACAAAATTAAATTCGAATTATATATGGGCGATTAAAGGGCGGTGTTATTTATTACCTCCAAATATAAGTACTGCAAAGTGGTTAAACCTGCCAAACACGCGGCAGGCGGTTGACTTATATTATTTTCTCTTAACACCAATTTTTGTAATACCAATAAACCCGTAAAACTGTTCTCTTCCAAAGAATTTTCCAATTGATTTCGACTTAAATCTAAGAAAAGTAACGAATTCATAACCGGCCATGTCTCGGCTGGTATGGCATGCAAATTATTATCAGTTATATACATTTCATTAAGCGAAATGGGTATTTGGAATAATTTTTCTAAACGATTGTAACTTAGATCCAGCCAACGTAAACTGCTTAGTTTAGCTAGGGAGCCACGAACAACGTTTGTTAAATTATTATGGCTTAAATCCATTTGCAGTAGAGTGGGTAAAGTTCCAAACATGGAAGATTTGATTTCCTGCAAATTGTTATGACTGATATTAAGCAACCGCAGGGAGAATAAAGTTTGAAAGACACCATTGAAAATGATGCTAATATTATTGTAAGCCAAATCGATGGTATGTAATTCGTAAAGTTTAGGAAATGAACCTTTAGGCACTTGCGTGATATTGTTATGAGAAGCGTTCAGAACTCTTAACCCTGTCATATTTTGTAAGGGAATCTAAAAATGGAAAATTCATTCTGTACATAGTTTTCTTTTCTTAATTAACAAAGTAATTTACATGCGCCAAGTTGGTGAGAAAGTTGTGACTTAATTGAAAAACGGTAGCAAATGTAGTCTCGTCGAAGACATTTTTGGAGAAATTTGTTAAACGATTGAAAGACAAGTCCAAGACCGTTATGTTAACGCAGTTTTCAAAAGCTTTCGGTTGTATGGTCTCCAAATTGTTATGCGAAATATTAATCGAAGCCTGATAAATATCTTTAAAGGAATTCTTCTCAATTGTGGTGATATTATTTTCAGCCAAATCTAGGATCTTGAAAAAAATTACACTTTATTATAATCTCAAATAAATGAAAAAATTTCATTAATTACCTCGATATAATTAAGCTGAGTAAACATTTGAAATTCCACTTTTTTTAAAGCATTACGGGCCAAATCAATTGTGCCAATACGAGCCACAGACCCAAATGTACCGCGACCAATATCCGATATGACATTATCACTCATATACAAACGTCTTCATAAATAATTTCAAAAAACACAGTTTAATTTAACTTGGACTTGGTATAAAGCAGCTAGATAGCGGTTATTTAAAACTTGACGGATCAGATTGAAAACAAATTGATAGACTAGCTTTTGAAGCCAGAAGAAATTGTCAATTGGCTGTTATCAGCGCAGTAAAGAGCTGTGCTCCATTTCTCAACTTTTACTTCGGTTGAGGCACAAAACTAACCAAGCCGACGGATTTTTAGGAGCAAGATATTCTAGCTAACGCAATAACTAAGCATATTCTAGCAAATATGTACCACTAAGCAATTAAGTTAAACTATTCGGAGCGCATGCTGACAACAAAAAGAAGAAGATGAGTTAGGGGAAGTTTGCCTAAAAATTTGACGCGTAGAGAACTTCCGCTATTTCGAAAGTCGATGAAAGCAGCAGGCAGACGGTGAACAATTGTACCGATAATATGAGAAAAAAGCAGCAGGAAAGAGGGGAACGGCATTCATTAGTTTTCAGTTTGTCGCCGGTTTTTAACCCTAGCGAACTATCATTGCTAGCAATTCCTATAAAATGATGGAACTTGAGGAAAACAACTATAAGGGTTGCTTTACAATATGTACAATGCATCATTTTCGAAAGCGCAACAATTTTAGAGAATTTATTACTAAGAGAAATATTTCCTTCTTATGCTGTCAAAACTTGTTTTTTTTTTCTTGTAAACATTTTTTTTATGTGTAGAGGTTTGTATTTACCTTAGAAACCGCATACCTCTAAAGCTGTTGGCATCCAAACGTTGAATTTTATTGTGAGATAAATTCACAACTTTAAGTACCGAATTACGGGCAAAAGTTCCCCTAGATAAAAATAAAAACATAAGCCATTGAAAGTAAACCTGAAATAATTTCACTCCTTTTACAACGCACCGTGCTAGCTCATTTAGGGAATTATGCGACACATTGCACCAACCCAATTTGGTAAGATCGGCTATATGCTGGGCTTCTAATTTCTTGATTTTATTAAAGCTTATATCCAACACTTCTAACTCACGTAAGTTTTTAAATTGATTCCTTTTCAAATTTTCTAAACGATTACCATGCAAATCTAACGTTTTCAATTTTCTTAGAGGCTAGAAGTAAAGAAACAAGAACCTAGTACAGAGTAAATTTTTAAATTTCACAAAATTACCTGAAATAATTCAATTGGAAAATCGTTCAAGGGGCCATTAATAACGCGCAAAACCTCAACCTTATTAGAAATCTCTTGGTCTACAAATAAGTTCTTATGTAGAGTTGTGAAGTTATGGCCATCAATGATTAAATGTGTCAGTTTGCCCAAAATCTAAAAATGGCAAAGTTTCTTTTCTATTAAATGAATGGGTGATCATGATTTTATTGCGTTTTGCTTACACCAAATGAATACGGACTAATTTGAGCTAGATTGGTATTTAACAGAGTTAATTGTTCTAAACTTTTGTTCAAACCATAAAACACGAAATCTTCTATAGCAACTAAAGGAGAGTCAATAACAGTCAATAAACGCGCTCGAACCTTTGCAAACAAAGGACCATAGAAACGCTCTATCGAAAAAGAAAAAAAGAATAGAAGATAAAAAGTTTAGATTTTTTAAAATGAATTTTCAACTTACCGAAATAGCCTTTATTAATAGTTAAATGCTCTATTGGCAATTCTAAAGCGGCTAAGTTTTGCAAAGCCACCGATAAAGTGGCCAAATTGGTATTATCACAGACAACGTAAACGCCAACGTCACTGCCTTTGATACAGCGGCACGGATAAATCACCTTAGATCTTTGTTAAATAAACGAAAATACATTTTTTGATGCTTTCATTAATTTTAAGACCTACCTAATTGGACACTTATATTTGGGCTGACCGTAAACATAATCGGAACCAATTACATATCCGCACATCGCCAATACCACGAATAGGGTAAAAGTCAAGGTTTTATTAAGAATTTCCGTATGCATTGTAAGCATATCTAGTTTAGAAAGCAAATATAATCTTTGGTTTGTAGGAGTACTAATGCGAGTTCAGTTCGTTTGGCCGTCTATTTCGTACAACTGGTTCGTTGCTGAAGTCTTTTGTTTCATTTCAAAAACAAGAAAACAAACGCTCTTGTTAACATTTTTTTAAGGTCTTAGTCACATTTTATTAAACTTGTTTAGTGATTGTAGCCTTAATTAATTGAAAAGACAATTCATAGTACAGCGAGCAAAAAGAGTTAGGCATAAAAAATCACAATAAAAAAAGAACAATAACAACACACTTTCACTTATTTACTTAACGAACCAACGAGTGCGCTTAATTTTTCTCAAACACATATTAACCACAACCAATTAGTTTAATAAAAAACACAAACAAAACTTAATAATATCAACAAAATGTAACGCATCCGCTTTTTAAACAAAACTTCAACAACTCTTGATTGCAAATAAAACATTTTTTTTTGTTTTGTTTTCAGTAAAACAGTGTGGCAATGCCAATGCTGATTTGTTACCATGTAGTCAATGTAGCGGTTTTACAGATCGTATTACTAAAAAAATAAAAGCATCAAATTCGAATTCCAAGTACGACATCAAATACAGCATTATCAGTTTCCTGAAGCTTTGACATTTAAATGAACCGGAATAAAATCGATGTGAAGGTGTACATGTAAATGTTTAGGCACCTCGTCCTTACAAATTCAGACTTTAACCACTTGTCATATGAGAATTTTACAATCAAAACCCATGCCACGTTTCAAGAAACATTGTCTATATATCTAGTATAGAAATTTAAAAAATTTTTTTACATCATTTTGACTATTTACCCATTTTTTACATTCCTTATTTCAACAAATTTGTTTTAAAATTGTATTTAAATTAATCTTCTTCTTGTTATTTGTTATTTCGATTTTTATTTGCTTACGTTCTTCATATATTAAGCCAAGGTATATTGAAAGTTACTATCGTTCATAAATTCAATTAAAATTAAGAATTAAATAAACTCAAAATGAATTATTTCATTTAAACTAAGTCTCAAAGATTAGTAAAGATTCTTAAAACTCTTTACCGGTTTAAGAGATTTTATACGAGTGATGTTCTTCGAGGACCACTAACGAAATCATTTTGTGCAAACTTTTAATTTGCCATGAGTAGACGTGAGTTGGTTTTGTAGGTTATAAAACGCAATAGAACCGCCCTAATCAAGAACTCGTTTATGAAACTTATAAAATGAGGTTCTATCGGCAGTAACAATCTTTCTAATCTATAACAATTTCTTTAATCTTTAGCCATCAGAATTTTGCTTCAAATCGTAATTTTGGCTCGTTCTCGATTTTATGATTAATCTTCTCTGCTTTAGTTTATTATAATTTTAGAACCCCTTGCTTTTGAACATTTTATTCAATGCGATAGTGTGGCCGTGTTAGGATTAGATTGCAATCAATGTTGCCAGTTTAGTGTTTTTATCTTTTTATAAAATTTGTAATCGCCTTAATCACACAATTCAGTTTAAAACCAAATGGTGGTTTTTTTGTACGAAAAGAACGTGAAATTATTTTCAAATTCGCATGCAATTGTGTTTTGGATCATAGGATTTAATAACACTTCATTTCTTTAATTTCCATATAGATGCGTGTAGAAATTATTGGGTTCTCTTCTTTCAAGATGGAAATATATGATTTAAAAAAATATTACTTGAAAAACCTGGAGCGTTTCTTTTCGCTCTTTAGTAGACCTTAACGACATTGCTTTATAATTAAACTTGAGATATGCTTATGAAAATAATTCTATGAGTTTTATGAACAAGCAATTGAATTGAATTCATTGAATTTACGCAACTTAAAAATATTTCTACAATATTTTTACGATGGTAAATTTTCTAGAAATATTTTATACAAATTTCACAAATTCTATAAAAACAAAAAATTTAAAAACCGAGGCAAAAATTTTGTTTTATTTTTATTTAATATTTTTAATGTTATTATTTACCTGAGCCGATAGCCTGTGTTGCTAGTGCTCAATGTCTCTTTTTTTAGTCTAAGAATTCAATTCATTAGTCTAAAATTAAAATAATAATAATGATAATAATAATAATATTATTTACCTGATTCAACATATGTGACCAATTTTCCCTGTATGCAAATGCAGCTCTGTCTTTTTTACATGTGAGTATCATTATTAGAGTATGTTCTGTGTGAAAAACAAGCGGGAGAAATATTCTTTGCTCCCGTTTTGTGCCGCCATTGATAAATGCACCAATCAGTATTGCTATTTCACATACTACTATAATACATGACGAAATTTTCGTATACATGTACGAAATTCTGCGAATGAGTTTGTGTAAAGGGAGAACGCGATTTTATTTGCTTCACTACGGACAAATGTACAGGCCGCCATTATAGATTTGATTTTTGTACCAAAAAGTTCGATTGCAAGGAAATAACCGCCAATTGTTTTTTTTTCCATAGAATACAAATATATTCTTGTCGTACAAGAAAGAAGTGTCAAAAGAAGTGCATTTCTAAACTAAAAGAAAATTAATTAAGAAAATACACATTATGAGTTATCAGGTAGATGCATTGAATGCTGCACATTTGGAGTTGCAAGGAGGTAATGGTGCGGAATTGAGGCGCCCATTTGACCCCACAGCTCATGACTTAGAATCAACATTCCGTCTAACACGTTTTGCTGATTTAAAAGGACGTGGATGCAAAGTTCCTCAGGAGGTATTGGGAAAGTTGGTAGCTGCTCTTCAACAAGATTACTCGCTCCAAGATCAAGATACTCAGTTTATGAATATGGCTATACCACGTATTGGTATTGGTCTAGATTGTTCTGTCATACCTTTACGTCATGGTGGCTTGTGTTTGGTGCAAACCACTGATTTCTTCTACCCTATTGTCGATGATCCGTATATGATGGGTAAGATTGCTTGTGCAAATGTACTCAGTGACCTGTACGCGATGGGTGTCACAGATTGTGACAACATGTTAATGTTATTAGCTGTTAGTACAAAAATGACAGAAAAAGAACGTGATGTGGTTGTACCTCTAATAATGCGTGGTTTTAAAGATTCGGCTTTGGAAGCTGGCACCACAGTGACTGGTGGTCAAAGTGTAGTAAATCCTTGGTGTACTATTGGTGGCGTAGCATCAACTATTTGTCAGCCTAACGAATATATAGTGCCGGACAATGCGGTAGTGGGTGATGTGCTAGTGCTAACTAAACCTTTAGGTACCCAAGTGGCTGTCAACGCTCACCAATGGTTAGATCAACCCGAACGCTGGAATCGTATAAAATTGGTTGTATCAGAAGAGGATGTACGAAAAGCCTACCATAGAGCTATGAACTCCATGGCTCGTCTTAATCGTACCGCCGCCCGTTTAATGCATAAATATAATGCTCATGGGGCCACCGATATCACTGGTTTTGGATTGTTGGGTCATGCGCAAACGCTTGCCTCGCATCAGAAGAAGGACGTGTCCTTCGTCATTCATAATCTTCCTGTCATTGCTAAAATGGCTGCTGTGGCCAAAGCTTGTGGCAATATGTTCCAGCTTTTACAAGGGCACTCTGCTGAAACATCAGGTGGCTTGTTAATATGTCTGCCACGTGAGCAGGCCGCTGCATATTGTAAAGATATCGAAAAACAGGAAGGTTACCAAGCCTGGATTATAGGAATTGTCGAGAAGGGCAACAAGACTGCCCGCATCATTGATAAACCCCGCGTCATTGAAGTGCCAGCTAAAGATTAGATTAGTTAGAAATATATCACTCACCATGTATGTATGTATGTAATTGAAGATGTCAGGGGGTGCTACTTTTTAATATTTTTCTCTAGTAAACGGAAATAATTTACGCGTTAATGCTTTCTTATGTTTTCCTCGCTTTGTTTCAATTTGGATTTAATAGATTCGATTTAGTTGATATCATAAATTAACGTCTCAGTTTATTCTGTATATCAGAGCTTAGCATGTGACATCGTATCTGTATTCGATTCGTTAATAGGACGCACACTAACTACATTTTGTTTTGATTAAATTTAAGAGAGCGTGCAAATATATCAAATAAATTTAATGAAATGATATACAAAACGAATAATAATTTTGCATGATTTTTCTTTTCCAAAATATCGATTCGCAAATTTAGAATTTGAAACGATTTTTCTCGCATATTGTAAAACCTTAATTATATCACTCGCAAAAGGATTTCAATCCGAACGCAACTTCACACACTCGTAAAGTCGCTAAGTTGAGTTTATAAATCTCTAAAAACAATAACTAAAATAAACACAATTGAATCTATCGGCGAGTGATAAACATTAAAATATTAATGATAAGTTGAAATTTAATACAATTGTTTGCAATGAAGGCATCTAGTGTTCCCACGAACTATTTATAATGTTGCTTATAAATAGTTGGTGTCTGTTGGGGCGCACTTGGAATTTATTTATAGCTATGTAGGGGATACGGGTGTTCGTAGTTTCTTCGTGATGTCAGAAAACTCGGAGAATTTTAGCTTTTTCTCTTCTCTCTATTAAAGTGGCCAAACGTACTCTTAACGAAAACTTTTTCTAAACCTCTTATCCCCCGGATTGGTTTTCGAAAATATTGAAACCTTCTTACAAGCATAAGTTACGATTTTGGAAGCTTTCTATATGATCAAAGGAGGAAAGATTGTGAATATATCGAATTTTGGAAATTATGATTAGTAAGAATTATGAGCGTACCGCTTTAGTTAAAAAAAAAAAAGGATTAAAAATCTTTTTTGAGTAGTCGGCCGTTAAATTAAATATGACTTTGCCCAATATGCCTCATATAACTCTTGATGTTCTTTCGTTGTAAAAAACTAGAAAAGTCATGCCTTGGTCTGACGTAAAGTCTCGCTTCGCCTGAATGTCTCTAAATGTTGATTGGCCGGGAATATAGTTCTATGTAATCGCGCACAGCAAATTTATTTTATTTAATTTCTACAATCCCTATATGAGGACGTAGGCGAGAGGAAATTTTGACACTTGGTATGCCATGAGCGAGATATCTTGAAATTACAATTTTTTCCATGTAAGGACTATTTCATAATAAGGCCTTCAATGGGGAATGGCACTAAAAGTGACCCGATTCAATCCAATTTCAATAGGATTTCTTTGGGTCGAAACACGTTAGTGTATCAAATGTATTCAAAATATCTAAAAAATTGGTATCTATAGAATAAACACAAATACACACGGACGGATATGCTTAAATCAATTCGGAACAAAATTCGGATTCGATATAATAAAAGGTAAGTACAATTTATATCATAAGTCTTACATACATTCAAACAATCTTAATTTAATCAGTACCCGTAAGTTACGTGAGTTGTAGAAATAATTTTTATATATAAAAATTTGACTTTAATTGTATCAAACTTCGATCATGTAAGTTTATTGCGTGAAGTCAAGCCTTTATAAAAGTCCTCAAGAAAAATACACGACAAGGCCTTATGACATCAACAGGTTAATAAGATATTTGGGAAGAAAATTTTGTTAAATTTCAACTGCGCCATTTCACGTGCTTATGTGGAAGTTTCCATGAAAAGTAGAATCGGCAGATATAACGACGAGCGTAAAACAAACCTTCTATCAGCGGTATAGGCGTAGGGTAGCTTTGATCGACTGATATTTTTACATGTTTTGATTTGCCAGAGGCTTAAAACTTTTTATAAAACACGAAATGTATGAAACATATTCTTACAGGTTGTTAAACCGATTACTACATTTACATACTTGTATCAATTCTAGGTAATTCAGTTATTAATACCTTGCCTCGTAGCCACCTACATGAAAATTTACATTTTTTACATGATCGTTGGAAGCAAACAAATCATTTTCCTGAACAAAAAAAAACGCAACACATTAACAACATAGGCACAAATATGATCAAATAGAATGAATTTATTTTGAAAAAGCTCTCTCCAAATAAAGCTTAAAGGCACTTAAGAGTATCCCATCTTATATACAGAGTAATTATTTTGCAACCACACACAAGCACACAAGCATTTAGAATCATCGGAATAGATATAATATTGTGTCTACAAGATTACTATGTTAGATGTTTTGTTCCTCTAGTCGCTCACTAATACATAGACAATAAATGCAAAAAGAGTACAAGTGTCCCTCGTATAATACGTTTAATTCGTTTAATTCGCTGTATCAAAAACGTGTTATACAAAACTATTCAAATTATTTATGTCAACTAACTTATAATGTGGAATAATAGAAATCAAGGCAATTTCTTCGACGCGTACGCTGTTGCCTCGGAACGTGATTTACGTTATATCGAAGCCATATAAACAAAAGAGTAACTTCATTGCAGGTTTTTATAAAAAAAAAAATATGAAATTCATGATCATGTTGAAGTATAAAAATTGAAAACATATACTACTGAAAAGGCTGTAGTAGACCAAGGCTCACGATTTAATAGCCCTTATCATTCTATAATGATTCATATGATAATTACTAATAATAAAGTATTCTATGGAAAGTGGTCGAAAAAGTGATCCGATCCGATCCGAACTATTTTTAATAATGAGTGTCCTTGGGCTAAGTTCGGGAGCTCGTCATGGTATCAAGTTTCATGAAAATAAATTTAAAAATTTGTGGCCTTTAGGTTGTGCACAAGATAACAAGACGGACAGGCAAGCTTAAAATCACTCTCTGAATCGATCGATATAATAATAGGGGGATGTATCTCAAGTTCGTCAGCGTATTTCATATAAATGCACAAACTTTATACAAATTTTATAACGATCGAGTAAAACAAATATTCAATTTTTGGTAATCGCATTATATCGGAAACGTGTTTGACAAGTACCGTGCTATACGAGGGATGCCTGCATTGAGTACTGCGGAGGCACTGACTGGTGAATATATATAGAAAGCAACTTAACATCAATATATTCAGTACATTTCAGTATATATTTGACTTTTGAAGTGTAAAGTGTTCGCGAAGATCTCTCTTCATATAGAATACGCTTATATGCAAATACAAAAACGAAACGATATTCTTGCTAAAGCATTAATAATAACTTAAAATTTATAACGAAAGCTAATTTTCTTCTTTTTTTTTGTTATTTGCTAATTTTTATTCTCTCCTCTTAATATAAACAAAATTGCTCGTTTTTTTTTTCTTTTTCAAAAGTGTGATATAAAACAAAAAAAAAAAAAAAACCAACAGCAACAGCAACAGCAGCAAAAGCAGCAGCAACAAAATTATTGCATATAGTTCGAAAAACGAAAAGTATGTAAATTACCACAAAATAATTAAAAAATGAGAAAAGAAAAAAACAACAAAAAAAGAAGAAAAACAAACAAAATATGCGTTTGTGTATGTGTGCGTGCGTTTCTACTATACAAAAAGTATATAAATTGTGTGTAATTGAACTTTCTTGAGGAGGAAAATTGAAACAGTTTTGCACATTTCTTCTTCCTTCCCTATGTGAACAACAGCATAAATAAATGTGAAGCTCTATGCTGTGCGAATAGAAGAAAAAAAAAAACAAAAAAAAAAAAGATGAAAAAATAAAAACAATAATAATACTCTAAGTACAGTGTGGTGCCGTTAGTTGGTTGATGTTCGAACTAAAAAAGAAACGTGTTTGTAATGCCAATCATGCACACACAAACACACACACAAACACACAAACACACACACACACATGCCACATAATGTGGGCTTTATGAACGTACCCACAACCCCACAACTCTGCATTCGAACAAAGTAAATATGTGTACACATATACACATATGCATATATATAAGTGTACATGGTTATGTTGGGCCTGAAAACGCAAACTGGCATAAACCCATAGTGCGTATGTGCATTAAAGTAAAGTAAAGATAACAACAACATATCTAAAGATGGATCGACAGACGATAGACATAACATAAACACACGCACACACACACACACACACACAATCACGCAACTGTACGTTGCCATATACTTATATCTTATGTATATATATATATATACAAATCAACTTTAAAGTCACAACCAATTGGATAGTAATTGATATGGTTTATTAAACATTTATATTAAATTATATGCATCTATACATTCATAATGCTTGCATGTGTATGCATGTATATGCTTATGCCCATGATTATGGTTTTCTGCAACAGTTTGCTAGTAAGGTACTTAACCTTTGTTATAACAGTTAATAGAAAACTTATCATAATCGTTGATATAAAATTTCATTTGAAATTTTACCAGAATACCTTTCTTGCCAAACCATTAACAATTCATTAATGAAACGGTTAGAGAAATAGTTTGCATCAAATTTGAAATTAATTCGATTTTATTTGTGTGCCCGTCAGCCTCTTTATAAGTTGCAGTTATATTTATTTCGGCAAGAGATATATAGGAAGATGAAGAAAGAGAGAGAGAGAGAGGGAGCAAGAGTGACAGATAGAGCTTCTACAAAGCTTCTTAAATCTTACTCGAAAACACAAAATAATTCATCGTTGACTTCATCGGCGTAACAGTTAAAGAAAAGATCCTCCACAAAATAACCGAATATTTTTCTTATATTCTAAATGAATTTAATTAAACCGAATATTTGTCACACGTTGATCGAGAAATTTCTATCATTTTTATACCCACCACTGTAAGAAGGGGGTGTACTCATTTTTTTTTTTTTCTTTCGCCCAAAAGGAAGCTTCAGAGGTTCTATAAAGTGTATACATTCTTGATCAGCGTGAAATTGTGAGTTGATTTAGCCATGTCTGTCCGTCTGTGTGGTATGTATCGCTTGCATTCTCCTGCTTGCAAAAATGAAGAAGTCGACTTCAAATTTGGTGGAAACATTGGAAGTTTTTGCAAGCAGGTTGGTATTGAATAGGGTCCATTTTGGTTAGAACAGAGCGGCGCAGTGGAGTATAAACTGAACGCAAGTCCGTCCGGAGGGGGAAAACCATCAACAGGCGTCCATGAGGGCAGTGCGAGACTTTAACCCGCTAAAAACTACCCCTCCTATTCCCTTCCCCATGGCACGACTGTTTAGGTATACCTTCACAGGGAGGGTAGCCATGTTTGCGGCGAACACTCCTACCGCCTTCCATATTTTCAGGTCGTGCAACATATGTTTGCCACAAGATTGTCGGGGAGAGGTAACACTCCAACTTCCGTCTGTAGTCTCTGTTGTTCGTTATGATATACCATAACGCAAATCCGTCTCTGTACTCTTTACGTGCAAAAATGGGACAAATTCGCCATGCACTCACACAAACTTACAACTGATTAAATTTTATTTGGTTCGCTTTCTTGAGGTTTTATACTTACTTTCGCATACAAAGCAAACAACACAGAATGTTTAAATCTATTTTGTACACTCCTCAAATGAAGATATATATTATCTGCCTAAAAATGGGTTGATTTTAAAATGAATATGATAGACACCAGAAGTAATTTTTTCTTAACAATACCAGCGATGTGAGTGTCATAGAGAAGAACTTGGAGAGTAGAAAGCGGAGAGAATTGTGATGGGTACGCGAGATGCTGTCCCGCCGAATACAACTTTCTTACTTGTTTGCTGGTAAAACCGTTATATAATCATAGTGCTTCTGGGATTTCTGGACGAAAAATTACATTTTCTAAAGGTCACGTTCGAAGTGTATCATTAAAAAACTGCTTCCGAAAGCGAAATAAAATGTGTCGGGTCAAGGTTTAGCCGTACGATGAATGCATCAGAACTTCTCTGCTAAGTGTATGTGTTATCATATTGTTACGATGAAAGGCAATGACTTTCAATTCGTGACAGTCAAGGGAGGGGGGGGGGGTTAAATTCTTGTTTAGACCAATTTTTGCTCTAGCTCGTCCTTTCCTCATTAAGTTACAGTATATATATATAGATATTATTATTTTGCGTTTACGGCACATGCCTGCGAGCATCTACAAGACTATTCTTTCAGTTTCCATGTGAATGTATTATCTTTAAGCCTCGTTGCATGGAGATAAGTGATCCAGCTCAAGTTCACAGATAGATTTTGGGACCTTCAGCAGTCGAGTTTTACGCAGAAAGGGGAAAAAGATAAGAGCAGTAAATGTTAGCTTTCATGCTTCACTCGAAAAATAATGCGAACAATGGGTGCAGTACAATGTCCAAATAGTAAGCGACAATAACGAAGACTAAGCCTTAACCACCCTTAACGCGGAAAATGAAGCTGAATATCTCTGGAGGCCTAATTTAGGCGAGTAACCTACTTGTAGTATATCATGTAGTGTATCATGCTTCAAACAAACAAATACATATAGATAAGTAGTGTCCTCATTATCATAGTATAATTTAAAGAGATATGGCGTAATGCAGTATTCAGGACTTCGTGCTGATGAAGAACGAAAGATATGCCTATGCTTTCGTTGGCTGTGAAAAATTGAAATTTCCATCCTTAAGCGGCAAACAAAGTTCTGAGTTAATCTTAAATAACAGATAGCATTAACTCTGGGCAGATTACTCGGCAGCGGGAACCAGGCATTCTCCAGACAGAAGACATCGAAATTATCAGATCCATTTTTACTAAGTAATCGGCTACTGTAAGGTCCTAGGAATTAGGTCAAGCCTGTATTGCGTTGAGGAAACTAGAGAAGTAGTAGACAGATTCGTTGCTTGATGTCGGTGCCGAGTCGATGCTCTTTCTTTGACATTGAAAATCCATGCACAAAAAGTTGAATGGCAATCCAGGGTATGAGGGGGGGATTACCCGAAAGGATTATAAACCAAATCATGGGGACTAAGAATGTCAGTCCCGCTCGTTACATCGCGTGCGCTTGGAGGCATTTTTAAAGATTTTACAGGCGCAAGAGAGTAAAGCGTTGGTTGTTATTATCACAAAATCGTGGCGGCACTGCACAATTGGAAGCGCTAAATATGCTTACCCTTCCCCATGGCACGAGGGCAGTTTGGATCGCACTCAATCTTTCATATTTGATAGTCCGGCGATTTGAGGTTGTCTTCCAAGCTGGGAGACGTCAGTTACTGGTTGCACATAACTCTATCAAACTAAGTATTTTGTCTTATTAAGGTTTAACTTTAGCAGATATTGATCTTAAATTCCGAACGTACCTGATCGCAAAGAGTTATATTTGTGCATGAATTTTTGTCGTGGCCTTAGCAAATACATTCATGTGCAGCTTTAGATCCGATGCCTCTTATGTGGACGATCAAGTGAAGGAATATTTGTAGAATGAAGAATTAAGAATTGCGTGTCAAAGGTCAAACAGATGGAGATGGTTAAGTCAGCCTCGTATTTCGTACTACAATCAAAAATATATATTTATAGTATGTGTATATATGCATGTGTATGTATGCATGTAATTGTTCTGCTAAACTGCGAATGAAATATTAAAAAGGCAAACGCAACAATTGAAATGTTTTGAGAGTTAAAAATGAATTTTGAAAATTCCCTCGCCAAGGCTACTATCGTTTTCTTACTTCTAATATCGTTGATGCATGTATCGATCGATCATTTGCAAACGCACGCGATTACCTTTTATTTTTTTTTTTTTTTTGTGAAATGCAAAAAAAAAACTTTAAGAACATTTTCGACGCGTAGAAAATGGTTGATACGTTCTTTGAAATGATTCATGTTTCTATTCTAATTTAAAGAAATTGTATGAAGCAAATTAACAAAAAAAAAAAAAAAATTAAAAATAAAGAACAGAAAATTTAAAAGAAAAGAACTGAAAAACGCAATGGCAGTGAACTAATTTTGAAATTTGCCAAAAATGTATATATATGTATTTCTGTATGTGCATACATACACAATCGTACTGTAGTGTACATGAAAATATATTTAAAATTCACATACAATGAATTGAAAACGATATGTATATGTGTATGTGTGACAATATAAATTAATAATTAAATATATATATATATACCCATACGAGTTGAGTCCATGCATATGTTAAGAGAGCGCATTCATTTTATGGATTTTTTTATATCCACCATCGAAGAGTAAGGAATATATTCAGTTTGTCGAAATGTTTTGCAACGACCAGAAGTAAGCTTCACGGGCCTCACAAAGTATATACACATTCTTGATTATCATCAAACTTTTTACTTGATTTAACCACGTTCGTCTGTCCGTCTGTATGGCGGCAAAAATGAAGTTATCGACTCCAAATTTGGCAGAAGCATTGCAAGTCCTTGGACGCAGCTTGGTATCGGTCCAAGGACACGCAATACAAAATTGTAAACTATAGCAGCTATAGAAAAATGGGCGAAATTGACCATGCCT